GGGTTTGAGTTAAATATGGCATAATTCATTCCTTGGTAATTTAGGGTTTGAGTTAAATATGGCATAATTCATTCCTTGGTAATTTAGGGTTTGAGTTAAATATGGCATAATTCATTCCTTGCTAATTTAGGGTTTGAATTAAATATGAAGTAATGAAATGCCTATTTGAGGGTAATTTGGGGTTGTTTATATTTTTTAATTATTTTTTGAATGAAGTTTATTCCAATAAAATAATAATAAGGTTAAGTGAAATTGGTTGAATAATAAAATCCAGCTTAATTATGGAACATTACAAACAATGGTTGAAAATGCTATATAAATTACATGACAATCATCTATTTGAAAATATCATTATAAGTCTCTCAAGTCTTTTAAGACACTTACCAAATAAGACTTGTAGGCATGATAGAACATTTCTCGACTCTTCTCTCTATGTAGGAAAAAGTAACTTTTTATATAATAATTTATCACTTCCCTAAATATGCATATTATACAGTTAAATACAGCTGGCACTTTCAAATGACTACTTAGGTTCAATGCTATGATATGTACTATTACATATTTTATAAGTTTTATTCAAAGCATCCATTTCATATTGTTGAAAGAGAGGGGGGAACAGTTATGATAGTTTGTCAAAAAAATAAATATATATGTGTAACATGATATTACTTGTACACACATGTACATTTAGTACTATAGTATATTTAGAGCAAAGCCACATCCACTGCTGGGAATCGAACTCTGGGTTTTAACATTGTAAGTCCTTAAACTTACTGCTGTCCCACCACGGAATATCCTTCCCCTTCATAATCTATATTCACGACTCTGCTTAACTGTGGGTATTTCTGCTGTTTATCTTTGACTGTTTTACATGTGGCAAGAGAATTGTTTTTATAAGTTTATGTTACAAAGTTCCAACAGCAGGTAAGTATATTCAAGTCATTATTCCCCACTTATTTCTAACATAATTATATAATAACAAGCTTTTTAGTTTAAAATATTTCTTACTTGAAATTTTAATATACTTTTAAGAATTGAAAAAACAAGGACAAAATCCAGTCAGTCAGTACACTGAGGTTAACTGTAAACAATAAGCAATTAAATGTTTTTTCTGTCCACATACCTGTGTATCAAAGTATTAAAACGGTCCAAGTCTGTAACACAATTTGCTAACTTATCCCCCAAACCTATAGAGATAATTTTGTTTTACAATCCTTTTACGTGGCACCTTGTCAAATGCTTTCTGAAAATCGTAATACACCAAATCTACACCTTTACTCTCATCTACATAAGCAGTAACCTT